CATTTTGACGTGTAGGTCCCAGGTCATCCTTCCGTCGAATATTAGTCCCAGGTAACTGTGTTTGTCTGAGGAATTTGGTTCTCTCTCATATAAACTGGTGGGCACGTTTCTCGTCGAACTGTAAATGTTATATGTTGTGACATGTCATGATTTAATCTTATTTTCCAAAGTGAGTACCAATTTTGTAAAGTCAGTAAATGATTTTGTAGATTTGATTATTATTTTTTAAAGTTTGTGTCATATCGATATATGTTAATTAGATTCTTAATACATATAAAATAATATAAAATTTATAATCATAACAAACGAGCGACCATGAAATAGAATCCAAATTTTAAGTAGGTACTATAATTGTTACAGCACCTGTATAACATCTCGACTTTATTGATATTATTTGTTTTATGATGAATTATTAATTCCAAAAACGTTCTTCGAAAAAACACTCATTGTACAGTGTGTCTCGTAAGTTGAGGGAAATTTTCATAGGAGTGATAGCAAACCTCAAGAGTTACAAAAAAATCTTAACAAACAATATGCCAATTTTCAAAAGAAAATCAAGTTTTGTGTTTTTTAAGTAAGTCGTGTTTTTTCTTGAATAGGAAGTGATAACTAAAGAAACGTCAAATTTAAGTAATTAAAGATTGATTCAATGTAAACTATACAAAATTTACTTCAAACAAAATTATAATATGTTATTGTTTTATTTAAAGAGGACTTTTAGGTGGCTAAAGTAGGCTGTTCTGTTTTTTAAAAAATCATAAATTAGTCGGGATTTTTTTATTATAATTATCTAACTATTCCACAGTTACTCCACTTTTAGAAAAAATTCTTCGTTTAATAAGCTTTAAATCCGTATTAATTAATTAGATGAATCCTACCAGTGTTTACTATTCAAATTTTGACCAAGAAATGAGAAACGGTTTGAGGAGCTCGGATAAAAAGAGATGTGTATAACCAGTGTACTGAAATAGAGTATTTCCTTTCTTTATTATATAAGGCTTAAAAACTGGGTATTTGTCCCCACTAGAAAGAAAAATATAGCATGAAAGTATCATTTTCTTACACAGACTATTGAAAGTAATGAAATCTGATTTCGGAGAGGTCCAAAGAATGATAAACGGATGCTTTGTGATTAAATAAAATCATGATGCTTAGCAATGATTTCCAGATTAACAAATTAACATGACGCTGCTTTGAGATATGTCAAATTTTAACAATTGATCTGGTCAAAAAATGTTGTGAGCCACACCAGAAACGTTGGACAAAGTCATAGGCGTGGAAATAATCACCCGTGTTTGATTTTTCGAAAAAAAAATTGTCAACTTGGATGACAAAACTAATAGGAAATATTAGTTTTAAACCAAAAGATCTTTTGACGACAGTTAAGGGTACACCATTATTATAAATAGCATCATTTGTGGAACAATTTTTTTTTAGTCCGTTATATATAAAAAATCTAACATAAAAGTATCTGATAATGTATTTGTTGATAAATATTTTAGAACAATTTTTTAAAAACTCATTTTTTTTTTCTCGGTAGGAAACGGCAAAAAATTGTTTCAGCGTGTCCAAAAAATATCTGTCGCTCTTATTTCTTTAATCACTGACATGTCCCACTAGCGAAGTCTCACCTCCTCGATCTGTCAATTACTCCGTTTTTCCAACTCAGTGATATCAGCACCAATGAAAAACATCGTTACACTTCTCTCCAACATGGCTACTCTAATTCAACAACATATTTTGTATTTTTTTATTACACTCTTTACCATACTGAAAATATAGTGATTATCATCGATTTGATTATTTTTGTAGCGCACAACAATGTTCTGTAAAACAACTGATCAAATAAACACTGTCGACTTCAGTTTAAAAAATAAATCATCCTCATTTTGTATACTTTCAAGTTTTCATGCACCATGTAAACAGGGGTGCCTATCAACGCCAAAATGTACCCTCCATCAAAAATTTAAATACCTGCCAAAATATGATACCCTCAAAGTTTTTGATGGCGCAGGTTACAAGATCTGGGGGCGGGGTGGCCGAATAGGCTAAAGCGTGTGTAACAGCACCGCTAGTTGCCTGGCAACCGGATAACAGAGATTTGAGATGATATAAAAAGTACGAGTTCGCGTCCCGGTGCCGGAGGGGATTTTAAATTCCCCGCCCTCACCCCCCGGCCCGGGAAAATCCCTAGCCTAAAAGGCGAGGTAAGGAAGAACAAAAAAAAAAAAAAAAAAAAAGGTTACAAGATGTACATACTGCATAAAATTATACACTGCTTCTAATAATTGTTCACTTTTCCGTTTACATTCCTTTAGTTCATAAAATAAATCGTACTCTAATAATTTCTCTGATTAGTTATCAGGAAAATTAGTTTAATTCAATTGTATTATTAATGAACATATTTAATTTAAAATGGAACAAGTAAGTTCAAAATCAGTAGAAAAGTCATGTGAGTGGACACATCGGATTTTTTATTTAAATAATTGATGACATGGTATAGATTGTCTTTACTTTACAACTCTTCCATTCCTAGGTAGGGGCCTATCATTACCTTTCTTGACGATGCCTTTAATGTATTGTGAAGTTAATTTTATTAATTTTTTTGGGCTTTAATATTATTAGATTATTTATACAATAAAAATCTAATAAATGTACCTATTTTGTAGCGCTTTTCTAAGATCTAAAGTAACATGTTTAATAAATAGCAATAAGCTAATAGGTAGCTGCAACACTCTTGCGCAGGACCAAGAACAATACCAAGACTCGTTTTGGTCTTGTATTTGGACAACATTAATCTTGAAGGTATCTTGTTACTGCTATGACATACTAGGCGGTATTAAACAGATTGCTGGTGACATTATCAGTTCTCTGCTTGCCTTAGTTTTAGAAGTTTAAAATGAAATTTAAAAAACTCCAGTTATTAATTTTTTTTACATATATTATAAACAAAATTTTATTATTATTATTATTTTATTTTATTCAATTTAACAACCGACGGATTATATGAACAGCCGACGGAGAAGACCAATACAAATATTTCCTGGACACTGCTTCCTCTGATCATCTGCTTATTGAGAACAAGGAGGAACTTGGGAATCCTGTAGAATGTTTTATGAATAATCCACAGGAAGGAACATGGTCTACATCGGTTCTCAGGCCTGGGTAATCTGAAGAGCTAAAAACTTATCACCCAGAAATATCATCATCACAGCGAATAGAAGAGTTCAGGAAATATCACTGACTGTCATTTCCATCATACATACTAGCTTACTACAAACTAACAGCTTAAAACAATAACAAACTCCAGCACCAGATTCTGGTATTTTAATGAACAACTTATGACAGCTATGTTAGTAATTTTTCCAGTGATAATGGAAAGATGTCAAAAGGAGAGTTATGATATTTTTAGGGTTGACCCCTAAAAATTGTAAAAAGATTTTTTTTTGAGTGAACGGCTGGAGTAAAGTTCGGTGTCTCAAATCAATCAGCAAGATCCTGTGAGTGTTAATATGGGTTCAAAAAATGAACAATTTACTATATAAATTCTGTTTAGATCTAAAAGGCATGTAACGACTTTTTGAGCGAACGGCTGGGCCGAGTTTTAAGTTATATTGTTCAAATTACTCAGAGATAGTCCATACCTCTTTATTTAATAAATTACAAACAGTCGCCTGAAAATTCGTGAATGACTTAATCTTATCGCAACCTACAAAATTTTTTTCTACGAAAATTCTAAAATATTGGCCTAAAATGTTTTATCAATTAATTAATTCATTTAATTAGGTACTGAAAACTCATACATATTCATTTGCTTTCCACTTGAGTCGTAATATAATTTGATCATAAAACATAAAAAAAAAAGGGACTTACAAATATATTGAGCCGTTCGGTCTTTATAACCTCGTTATTTTGACATGTTGGGTCGTCACACCAAACGGACCAACATTTTTATAGGCCACCTTTTTTCTTGATTTTGTGATCAAATTATCTCACGATTCAAGAAGAAAACAAATGGACGTTCATGAGTTTTTAATATATAATTAAATAGACAAAGTTTGCCGATCTCTTCAGACTGAAAGCCCCAATTCTCGAAATTTCCTAAGTAAATAGTTGTAGATTACGATTAGAGTTGAAGCTACTCACTAGGTTTTAGGTGAATGTTGATTATTTGATTAAGAGAGGTCTGTGCTACGGAATCTCTTGAATATTTTGAAACGATTTTAGCTCAAAATATTGATAAAATATTTTATTGTAGTTTAAGTACTCTAAACGTTTTGGTGGTTTCGTATCATATCATATGTTAGTTCGTGATCATATGTGTTGAATATAAATTGTTAATGGAGAGGAGAATAGTTGGGGTGATCAGTCAAATAAGAAGGCAAAAAAGAAATGAATTTCTCCATCAACCTTTTTGGAGACAGCCCTGATGAAAGCCTGAACTTTAGGTCGAAAAGTCGGTAAATGTCAAAATAAATATTATCATTTATTTTTGACTTCTTATTTGACTGACCACCCCAACTATTCTTCTCTTCATTATTCACTAGAGTCTCTCATTTACCCACAATTATTAATTGTCAATATTTGAAACACTACAAATCATCCGATGTGATTGTAACTTAAACATTTGGTGGATTATTAGGGGTATTGACATCTGGAAATATTTAAATTTGGTGTAGTAGTCGATTCTTTCATCGACATATTATGACTCATAATCAGTAGATTTTGTCCCATTTACTGGTGCATTTTTACTGAAAGAGTCGAGTTTCGTTCGGGTAAGGAAGGAACTTACTAATACACCGAGTTTAAAGTAGGTATCAATTCCCATTATGTTTAAATAGGTAAGCTACTGTATTCACTTTGGATGGACAGCATCAGTTCCATCAATAAAGTCCATCGATGAGGATTCCAATTTTGAATATGCTTATGGTTCATTGAATTTCCAACAGTCAATAGATTATTTCATTTTATATACTTTTCATATAATTATATTAGAGTTTGATTTAAATACAGTTCATTCGTAATGTTGCTAATTATATTAAATGTGGGCCGGCAGGAGCTGAGCTACCCAGAGCGTGGGGAGGGCCGGAACTGGCTGTCTGTAGTCCTCTCGCTGCTGGTGATCGCTGCAGTTGTGTCCGGTATCCTCACGGCCATCCACAGCCTGGGCTACGTGGACGAGCTCCTCTACTGGTCGGGGAGGAGGCTGTCGCTCCAAGAGGTTCTCCAGGGCGAGATCGCTGGAAGCCGGCTGTCACCCGCATGGGTCTCCGGCAGCCATTTCCTCTTCCAGGCCGACGACGGTGGTCTCTCTGTCTTCTCCACTGTAACCGGCAACGTATCCACTCTTGTATCAAATCACACGCTGGTAAGTATCTTTTTTATTCTACTTGAATGAGTTTGATTCAAATTTTAGTTCTTAACGATTCTATTGCTTACTATTTATTTGTTTAATACATCTCTTGAACCAAAGCAGCCTATATATATATACGGGAAAAAGTAATCAAAGACCATAGGTCGTTGAAAACCAATAAAAATCTGTACTTTGCAACTACGCAAGATTCTAAGAAAATAATATTTATTAATATTACCTTTTTACCAATATCGCTACTGTTAGTGCAAAAGGTCGTGTGTTAAAGTTTTTTTTTACATAAGAGCATTAAACTAATTATTTCTTAATAATTTATTAGTATAATTTTATATTTTATTTCCCTCTGCTATTTCCTATTGTAGCAGAATACTTATTGCAGTTGAAATATACAAAATGTCACCTTTAGCACAAATATAATAAACATGGGAAATTGTTACATAAGACCTTTTGCAATTACAGTAGCGATAAATTCTGAGAAAATCTCTCATTATTTAATATTTTCATTTAATTTTTAGGCCTCTTTCGAATTAATGGTATTAACTTCAGCGAAAAAAGAAAGATGAATTTAAATTATTTTTTTTATTTATTTATTAATGATATTTACAACTGTATTACAAGTAAAAATACATTCAGTAAATGTGTAAAATAGAATATAATAACATGAAATCATTTGGTGAGAAACTACCCACTGGTAGCACTCTAAAAATGTATTTACAAAAGGAGATCTCGAGGCCATCTTCTTTTCAGACGCCTCGGAGGGTGAATTTAAATTAAATCCGATGTTTGAACTCTTGTTCACTCGTATCCATTGAAGAAATGTCGAAATTCATCCTTTTTTTTTTAATCTACCACTAGTTTAATTTTTTTTTTTTGGATCACAGTTCAATGCGCTGTAATCAGTTAGAAAAAAAAACAATTATGTCCAACATTCTTTATTGTTAATTTTAAGTTCCTTTAAGTAAATTCGGCTTTATCCGAACAACTTAATGAAACGATACTTAGTTCATTTGAAGAAAAAAGTATTAAATTTTACATGTAATTTAGTTTTAGTTTATGACGCTGCTCTTTCTCTGATTTGGGTATCACCAATCTTATATATTGCTATGCAAAAAACCAATTATACGAGTTTTTCAGTTGACAGGATGACTAATTCCTGTTTAACATTTTTTATTCTTAATATTACTGATATTTCTAGTGAATGTTTACCTTCATTCACTGTTCTATATTTCAACAATGCAATCTCCTACTCTGGAATCAACTTACTCACAATCTGTACAGATATTATAAATTTTAAAACTAGAAATATCATTAAAATGACTCAATTACTCTAAAATGTTGAAAGTGGAGTTAGTCATTCTATCAAATGAAAATCTCATATAATGTTTGACTATGTTATATATTTCATCGAGTAAATAACTATATAACTCGAAATATCTTTATTTATATTTGATTTATCTATAAATATGTTCATTTTATTTTCTCTTTTGGGATGAATCTCAACCTTCCTTCTAATGTGATACCGTAGATATTGAACCATGTTTGTTTGTGGAAAAAGTTGGTTGCCGACCAAAAACAGGGGGGACACGTGTGGGAGTGAAAGATATTCGTTGCAATCAGTGAAAATCAGTTCTTCTGAAGTCAGAACAATAACTTCATTAAATGGGTAGTGAAGAGTTACTACAGTGTCTATTCAACAACAGAAGGTTCGTTCACCTAAAGAAAATCAAATGTAAAGGAAAAATCGCAAATTTAGAAATACGAATATTTTTACGAAATAAAATTTATTTATTAGGTTTTTTTTTTGTTGTCACTACCCTGCAGGATCATTGGCAATTCCTTCTAATTAAATTCTATTTAAAGTTTTACCACTTTTAAGTAAAATTCTAATGTTTTTTTAACAGTTTTTTCGTTGTCTTTTAGGTTTGTTGCTATATAGAAATTTTCTCTGATATTTTCAGTGTATGGAAGTCTTGAATAATATATTTTACTGTCTTTTGGACATAGCAGCTCTCACAGGTCGGAGGATTAAGTCCTTTTAGTAGGTAGGCATCCGAAAACTCACAATATCCAATTCGTAATCTGCAGAAGACTTATAATGTCTCTTCTTTTCTAGAGGATCGACAAGAGATGTTGGGGAATAAATCAGAAGTCATATTTATTTTATAAATAATTGTATAAGTAATTGTTTCATTAATTAATACTGATGAAACATGCACATGTGATTAATTGTTATTGTTGTATAAAAAGTCAAAAAGTGTAAAATTTTAAAATCTCTGCTTAAAGTTTTAGTGAAATAAAACCAAGTTTATTTAAAAATAGAGTACTCAAGTTATTCTAGCTCGAACCTAGGGATCAGCTATAACAGTTAGTTATATATTTGACCCCTAACCGAACATAAGTGGCTAACTTCTGGTACTTAATTTTAATAATTTCAAACCTTTCCCTGATTCCATCGGCCTCTTCCAATTCTGACATTAGTTCTTCTTCGGATACATCATTTTCTATTGATAAATCAAATATTTCGTCTTCAAGTGATTCTAAAATCACTGACTTCTTCCTCAGAAACTCTGAGTAACCGGATATTTCTTCCAAATTAGGAATATCACAATTGAGCAACTGCTCTAATTCATTTGCGTACCTTGTAAAGAAAGTGCGGCAAATCCTTCTCTGCGTCTTCTTGTTTTCCATTTTGAATCCAATCAAACTAAAAAATGGAGTACTCAACAGGTCCTGTCACGGTCGCCACGTATGTTCGGTTAGGGGTCAAATATATAACTGATCCCTAGGTTCGAGCTAGAATAACTTGAGTACTCTATTTTTGAAATAAACTTGGTTTTATTTCACTAAAACTTTTACATTTTTTGACTTTTTATACAACAATAACAATTAATCACAAGTGCATATTTCATCAGTATTAATTAATGAAACTATTACATATTTATAAAATAAATATGAATTCTGATTTATTCCCCAACATCAGGTTTCCCATTTTAAGTAGTGGGTTTTTATTTCTCTCAATTTAGAATCCTTTTGCATCCACTTAAAATTTTCCATATATACGTCTTAATCTTTCTCATATAGTCCTCTAAAGGGATTTTATTGATTGGTTCAACCGGAATTGTGCTCGCCTTTCTTGCCATGTTGGCTGCTAGGTCAACCTACTCATTTCCAGTTACTCCGCAATGCGAAGGGAGCCATATGAATCTTATTTGTTTACCCTTCTGCTTTAGTAGCCACCAAAAGTTTCTTACTTCTTCTGTTGGAGAAATTTTTGGTCTGGTATTTTCAATGACTTGCAACGAACTCATCGAATCCCTTACCACGGCCCAATCGGTAGTTTCGGTTATGTCTTTATACCTAAGAGCTTCTCTTATAGATGAAATAGTTTTCGAGTATAAAAATTTATTACCGAGCATCCTACTTCCTTATCTACTTGAGAGGCATCAAAATACAAAGGCATCAGTATACAAAATGTTGCTCTCCTTGTATTTATTCAGGATTTCTAAAAATATTTTTTGTTTTCAACTGGATGCGCCTAATCCTTTTTATATCCGGCAATTGATGTATCTATGATTGGTGAGGCATAGGTCCATCGGGTAAAATAAAATTGTAATGAATCTTACTGAACGAGTAAGCTTTCAGCTATGTGTGTTTGGGTCCAATGTTTATCAGGAAAATAAAAATTGAATTAAGAAGTAAATCTGTCATTCCTCTTCAAGAATGCATTAGATTGGCTTTTTGAAACTTTTTTTAAAAGAAATGAGGTTGCAAATTATAGACGTTTTTTTTCCACCAGAGTATGCAATATTCAGCCTAAGCAAGAAATATATAATCAGTAGATGGGATTTGATTGTTACAGTGTTATATAAAAATCATTGTTGTTCGTACTAATGAAAGGAGGATTTTTTTAAAAACATTTTCTACAAACAAACTTGAAGGGAGTGCGATAGCTGGTAAGGCGCTGACTTCCAATGCTGAAGGTCCCGATTTCGAGTTAGTCTGATGGCACATAAATTATTTATTCTGTTTTATCGACCATGCATCGATTCTGATGATAAAAGACCCTGCTGGGGAACACCAAGCCTCTATAAAGTCGGCACTCTATATTAAATAATTAATTAAGGGGTAAAAGCTGTTGGTTAAACGTGATCTCGGTCCAATAACTGTCAGCAGTATTTACTTCTAAATACCAAGTGTATTATCAAACATATAACATTTTCATTGCTAAGAATTTATTATAATTAGTAAAGGTTGAGGTTACTACTTCATACGCGTCACTACAGTATGATGGATGGGGACAAAACCTCATGATTCATGATTTTCATGTCTTTTGACTGGTTGGATTAGGTCTTCAAACCACTCGATTAATAAATATGAATAACTGTGTGAACCAACTTGAAACGAGACAAACTCAAAACATCTCAGGAAGATGAAACATAAATTTTGGGCTTTAGAACAGTTTTATTTTTGAAGCCTTATATTCAATCTTTGAATACATTAATAAAAAGAACTAGTGGGCAACCGTTGATCAAGAAACATTACTTCCTTAGAAAGTACTGAACCAAAGACCATTCATGGATTGTCATGTGATACAGGTTTTTTATTTATTTATTTATTTTAGATAGAAACATAGTTTGAAAGACATTTGAGTGAACGGATGAACGAAAATGCCTTTTACATCCTGTTTATTTATTTTTTGTGTTTGAATACTTGATTTTAATTTTGAAAATTTGACTACATAGAGAGTCACTAACGGATCCAGAATTTAATTTTGGGGAGCTTCAGCCCGAAAGATTTTTTTTTTGTAGAAATATATTATGATAATTACTTCGGAAACAAGAAAGAAACTAACTACCTATATGAAATGGTGTTTAAGCAATTATTTCTGTCTTATTATTGTAATCAGATTAATAATAATATTTATAGAGATAATTTTTTTATTTTATTTTTTTAAACATGGTTATATTTTACCATTTTGTGGAGGGGGAGAAGCTCCCTCCCTCCCCGTAGAGCCGCTTGTTTAGAGAGTCGTTAATTAAATTAACCTTTGCTATGATTAGATAACTTCATTGCATCCATGAGGATATCCATAAAAAAAAAAAAAAAAATTTTTATGGTTGCATAGTAAAATATCCAAATAAAAAAAATATATACAATCCAATTACTGATGCAATCAAACTGTACTACAAAAAAAAAACATGGATATTAAATTGGAAAAGTCATTAAATTATAATGGTTAGCGAGGATATTCCTACATTGGCATTCCGCCATTCAATGAGTGGAGGCTGTCTTCAGCACCTTCAACTGGTAGCTCCTTCGTCGGAACGGGCTTCATTCCAAATATTATCCTGTCTTCGCTGATGTGGAAATCATTCCCTCTATCTCTTCGTTTTCAACAGCCTGTTTTATCCTTCTATTTGTAACTCTGTTTAGTGGACTTCATCGAGAACATAAAGTGATACGTTGTTGGCGAAAAAACTGGACTCCAGATTAAACACATTTTATTTTTTTAAATTAAAAAAACACGAAGGATACTTCAATCAACTAAACAGTCATACATTTTATAATTCATTGTACATATTACTGCCAAGAAGGACATAAGTATATTCTGCATAATAATGTTTTCAAACCTGTAGTCTTCTGTGATTAAAAGATTTATATTTTACTCCTTAAAAATATTAAATAAAACTTTCATTGGCATTGTATAGGACCGTCTACAAAGATTTGCTCCTGAAATATACATATTAAAAAAAAAAATGCAATAACATCGAATTCATAAAACAACTTTTTGTTAATGATGTATATAATCTAAATAAACTTTAAATTGAAAAAAAAACAATAAGAAGTAAATAACGTTAGTTTTTTTTTTTTTTTTTGTTGTTCCTCACCTCGCCTTTAGGCTATACGGGATTTTCCGGGCCGGGGGTGAGGGCGGGGAATTTAAAATTCCACCCAGCACCGTGACGCGAACTCGTACTTTTTTTAATATCTCAAAACTTCATATATCTGGTTGTTGGGCAACTCGCTAAATAATGTAAGTTGTCTATACTTGTTTTTCTTTTGATTACATATAACTGTAATAAGAATGTTATGTATTGTATGCCTGAATTAAGAACACTATATATTTATAAACAGACATATATTAATAAACTGTTCCAATCTTTACCAATTATTAATTATATAAGTTCATTATTTTTTTCTTATGGAATATTAATTCTGTTACAGGACTCAAGTTTTCTTAGTTCTCATAGTGCCAAAATATTTTTTGTTTTATTTTTCGGTTAAGAAAATACCCTTTGTATATATTTCAAATGTGAAGATAAAGTATAAAAGAATATTGTATTCCATATATAAAATGTAATGTCTAATTTTTCTACATTGTTATAAATACCATAATTTTAGTTTTTTACTAGTTAACGGACTACTGTACTCCGCCAATTTATTAATCATCATTTGAAGAATTTTAGGTTCCGGTGCTTACTTCTACTACTCCTACTGCAATACCACCATTTTACTATAAAGTAAAAAAAAAAATATTATAAACAGTGAAAACCAAGCGGTTGAAAGCAAAAAACTCGGTCTCAAACCTATTGGTGTTTTAAAAGTCTCCGTACCGCCACCATTGGTCCACACAAAATGGCATGAAGAGAATTAATGAATTCGTATATACAATTTATATGAAGGTTAGTCCGGCTAGTCAAAAGCTGACTTAAAATCGTTAAAGATACCTTACAACTTGGAAAATTTTTTACTCATTTGTATTTTAATAATATTAAACAGTTTAAAAATATTATAATATCCCTTCCGAAACTCTGCCTGATATTCACGTAATATTTTACTTTATTTTCTGTATATTGTTCGAACCTTAATAACAACAAACGAATAAATAGTTTGGAAGTCCGACAAGAAATTATTGACTATATTTAAAACACCTTTTTTTAAAAAAATGTGGAAAAGATTATAGGCTGTACAAAAATTATTTAGAATGTTTCACGTTTCTATATATTGCGTAAAAAAAGTTTAGGAATGCAGGAAGTCATCTTCTATCGTATGCTGGTGGTTTCCCATTTTTCGCTTTACGGACAACTTTCTTTTATTTTATAAATCCTTCAAGATATCTTTTCAAATCTCATAGGAATGGTAGGAGCATTCAGTATTGGAGTATTAGAATGCTTCCATTTTCTTCTGTGGATTTTTTTGGGAACCAAGATGCGAAGAAGATGAAATGAACTTGCAACTCGGGAATGAGCTAAATGCTATAGTGCTATTATAGGTGATTAAATACAGTTCAATTAGATCAATCTCGAATTATAGTTTCAAATTGGAGTATTCCATTTTTTAGTGCTCGTTAAGACGAAATCAATGTAAGTATTTACAGGAAGATACCGATTCACCTTAGGCTCCTCGACTACGGAGTTTGGTATGACATCGGTCGCCAACGGATACCTCCCGATGGAAGGCCAGATAGAAATGCCGTGACTGGTTATGTAAATCCAGCAAACCACCGGCTGGAGCCCTACGTTACTCGGGTTTCTCCATGAGCCAACTTGCACGAGACCCCAAGCACGCTCCGATAGTGGTCTTATCTTCAAGGACGGGCGTTGTTAAGGCCTACAATGATAGCATAACGAGATCGGCGTTTACGTTACAGTCGGGCGTGTGGAGCCCTATTACCTGCATAATTGTAACACATTGCAATATATTACCAAGGAATGACGATATGTAACGTTATTTTTAGTTCAATGTTTTTAAAAATTATTTAACGACAGTAAATGTAAATATTATTTTATTGGAGTTCCACCAAGGGGTAGTTTTGTCTACTAGGGATTGGAACTTTATAATAAGTTCCATTTTAACAGTTTCTGTGAAACTTTTAATAAAAAAAAGCTCCTAAAATAAAAGTGCTATAAAACTTGTTTGTGATAACGTTTCAGGTTCATGGTAAAAGTTTAACTTTTATATATTCAACTTCTAAATAAAAAGTTCCGTTAAATGAAAAATAAATAGTAATTGGGCTTAGATTAGAGTTACGATTTGTCCTAAATGAATTACCTGTGATTATATGGTTGATATTGTTTGATTTAGTAGCTGTGGATAAAAGTAATTTTTATATCGAAATTTTAGCGGAATCTACAGAACTTTTAAATAACAATTTTTTAAAGCATTTATTTGAAAAGTTTTAGCAAAAAATGTTCTAGTTCCAAAACTACTGAAAAACTATCGACAGTAAAAATTTCAATGATAGCGAAACTATTTTTTTTTAAAACCATTTATTCAAGATATTTACAACTATATTACAATATAAATACATCAAGTAAATGTGTACACTGGAATATAATCAAATGAAAACGCTTGTTGAGAAACTACCCTCTGGTAGCACTCTAATAATATGTCTATATAAGGAGGAAGCAAGGAAGGTTAGAAACGAGAGGATTCCGATGGTTATGAAGTTTATTATGGAAGGATAGGTATCTACATTGAGGTATTTATAGATTATTTGTGACAAAGTAAGGAGCATTGAGGATTTTACGAAGAATTTTGGATTGTAAGGATTGGACACGAGAGGAATTTGATGGTTTAGAGCTCCATAGCTGAATACCGTAAGTCCAAATAGGTCTTATTATAGTCATGTATATGAGTCTTTTGTAATTAATTGAATGTTTAGAGCGTTTGTTTAGTAAGTGTTGGATTAGCGGAAACGTCGAACAGTTTCTTGTCGTTTCAATCTTGTATGAGGATTAAAAGCGAGACGTTTGTCCAGGTGGAGTCCTAGATATCGGATTGGTTCAAGGGGAAAAAATGGGGTGTTATTAAGGGATACTGTAGGTCAGGAAGTCATAGGTTTACGATTGAGAAACTTTTCAAAAATAAAATTTTTTTTTTCTCGTTTAAAGTCGAGAACAACTGTTAAATATCTAGTGCTAAAAGTTTCTTGAAAAATCTGTACTAAATATTCGGTACTATCTTGCCTTTATCCTAATGATTTTCTGGGGTAAGTAACATCTTTTTTTGTCCCTTTGGTGTTGGGAAAAGGTAGCCCTTATTAAATTAAGTTTTGGACATTACTTTTATCAAAACGTTTATAACGATTTCAATGAGTGATACGAAATGTGAACATGTATTAGACCAAAAATCAGTGAATCTACAAGCAATGGTCATTACTAAAGCGAATATCAAACCTAGAGGGACACTTTCCTCAAAGACATCAAAAGTGAAAACGACAACACGGTAAGAAGGTTATCTCTCCTAAAAAGCCTAATGAAGTTAAATTACCTTCCCATAATATAAAATCTGCATCAGAACCTGGAACAAGCTTAGTTAATGGATGGACTGAGGTAAATAGGAAAAACTCTTTTTCTCCACGGAGTGAGTCTTTTGCATTACAACAAAATAGTTTTGAGTCAGTGAACCCATTCACAGTCTTAAATGTCGATGACGGAACTCAATTCCAAACTTCTGTTGATCAAGCAAAAACAGTAGTACCCAAACCGCCTCTAATATATGTAAAATCAACTTACACTACATCTTCACGAATTATCACTACAACTGAAAATAGATCATTAACTAATGCTGTTCCCCATAACACAAAACAACCTGACATCACAACACAACTTACTGACTTCATTAATGAATTTAAAAACCTTGTGACTCCACTAATTTCATTACTTACCACCCTAATGCAGCACCTCCTGCCCAAGCTTAAGTCATGAAAACTTTAAAAATTCAAATGACGTACTTGCGCACAGAAATGAGCTAGAAGTATTTCTTAGTGACAAGGAAATAGATGTAGCACTCTTGACCGAAACACACTTGAGAAGCCAAATTAAATTTTCAATACCAACTTATAACACTTTCAGGACTGACCATCCATCAGACTGCGCTAAAGGTGGCACACTCATTCTAGTTAAAAAGTCTATTAGTCACTACTTTAACTCTTATGAGGCAAATGCGTGTCTGCAGAGTACCTCCGTTGTTCTAAATGTTTTTCCTTTCAAGTTGTCTGTCGCTGCTGTCTATTGCCCACCTAATGAAACCTTATATTCTCAATCCTTTAATACTTTATTTTATAATTTAGGTCATTGATTCCTATGCGGTGGTGACTTTAATTCTAAAAACCAAATATGGGGCAGCAGAATGAATAATTCCCGAGGAAGGACCCTTCACAACGCTATGATCTCCAGCAGTTGCTCTCATGTTTCACCTCCTTCACCTACGTACTGGCCTACTGATCTTAATAGAATTCCTGATGTTTTAGATATCTTTATTAGTAAAGGGCTCAACCAGCTGCACTTTGACATCGAAAATTTGTTTGACCTTTCGTCGGATCACTCTCCTTTGCTACTTACGGTTGATCAAGAACCAATTCTGAAATCTCTACAACCGACGCTTACGCCAGGTCAAATTAATTGGAAAAACTTAAGGGATACGTTAGAAAAATCTATCTCGTTGAACACCCTCTTGCGGACTCCAGATGAGCAGATCCAGTCCAATCGCTAATGCAAGTTATACAACAAGCAGCTTGGAATTCTTCCTTATGTCCATTAAGACAGTCCAGGGTAAGATATATGAAATATAGCATCCCACATTCAATTAAATACCTCTTACAAGAGAAACGAAAAGCTCGTAAGAAGTGGCAGCGCACTCGTTATCCTTCAGATAAGTCCAAATTTAATCAGCTAACAACGGAATTGCGAGAAGAAATCAGACGATTTAAAAATGAAAATTTTAATACCCTCCTAAACAGCTTGGATAATAACAATGCATCTATTTGGCGAATGACAAAACGCTTGTTGAATCATCAAGAGACATCGCATCCAATTCGATATCCTGATGGCTCGTGGGCAAAGTCAGGTGCTCAGAAAGCTGAATTATTCGCATGCCACTTAGAAAATATATTTACCCCTCACAGTGATATGCAAGATTCACGCAGTGCAAAATTGGTAGAACATCAATTAGATATTCCTTTAGAGATGACCCCCCCACCTAAACCTTTTCATCCAAATGAAGTTAGCGTTATTATCAATAGTTTACCAAATCGAAAATCTCCAGGGTTTGATCTCATTACTAACTTTATTCTAAAGAATTTACCAAAAAAGGCCATTATATTTTTAACAAAATTAGAATATAATGGCCATATTCAATTCCAACATATTCAATTCCATTCTTAGAACAACACATTTTCCGATTTTATGGAAATACTCAATCATAACTATGATTCAAAAACCCAATAAGCCTATAGACCGCCCTGATTCTTACCGCCCAATTAGTCTTCTACCTTCTCTATCTAAAGTATTCGAAAAAATTCTGTTTCGGCGTTTAAATTCACTTAGACTATTTGATGTCATTCCAAATTTCCAGTACGGGTTCAAATCTTTCTCGCTAGAATCAAAATTGTACTGTCCTGGCGTTTTTCTTGACATGAGTCAGGCTTTTGATAGAATATGGCACGATGGTTTGATACATAATTAAAAACGATTATTCCTCCGACGTATTACTTAATTTTACTATCATATCTAAAAGATAGATTTTTCCGTGTTAAAATGGGGACTGAGTTTTCTGTTATCAAACAAATAAAAGCTGGAGTACCTCAAGGCAGTGTCTTGGGTCCAACACTTTTCAACATTTACTGTGCAGACATCCCACAACATTCTGAAACACTGTTGGCTATATTTGCTGATGACTCGGCAATATTAACATCTAACAAGGATGCAGCTAAGGCTTCTCAGGTACTTCAAGAATATCTAGACGATATAGCTTGTTGGGCTAAAAGGTGGAGAATAAAAATGAACGAGTCTAAGAGCCAATTTGTTTCATTTACACTTAAACATGACTCTTGTACTCCAGTGTTCTTTAATAATATTGCTCTACCACCTTCAAAAACTGTACGATATTTGGGTCTCCACTTGGACAAACGACTGACATGAAAATACCACATAAAACAAAAAAGAAAAGAACTTCAGCGATACGGACTTCTTTCTTGGCTACTTGACAGACGTTCTAAATTATCTGTGACTAATAAATTAACTATTTACAAAGTCCTCATTAAACCACTATGGACATATGGGATCGAACTATGGGGAACAGCAAAGAAATCAAATATAAAAATCATTCAGTTATTCCAATCAAAAGTCCTTCGGAAAATTGTAGACGCATCCTTTTATGTTTCAAATCTCACGTTACACACTGACCTTAACACTCCTTTCATCGCATCAACTGCCACTGACCGCTTTAATAATTTTCATGACAGACTGACTGTAAATTCTAATCCATTTACTCAGGCTCTATCTACTGACACAAATCCATATAATTTGCCCAGAAGACTGCTGAGGCGCTGGCCAAGAGACTTATTGCATTGAGCTACTTGCTGCATTATCTTTTTTGTGTGTGTATTTGTTATTATTTTATAATGTATGTGTTATTTTACTACGGTTTTTTTTTGTCTTTTTGTTTTGTTATTCTTGTCCTTGATATCATATTTGCTGAATACCGAGGTAGATAGCAAATTTATTGTGATCCACAAATATGTACAACTAATAAATAA